TCAGCGGCGCGGTGCTGACTGCTGCGGGCCGAGCTGACCTGGGTCGGGGGCCGAGTAGCGGGTGCTGCGGCGGGCGCCGACGATGACTGTTGCATCTGTTCGAGAACGCGCTTCTGATCCTCGAGTAGCTGCTCCTTAGACGGGTCACTAACCGCGGGGCCGGGCGCCGGTTGCGCTGGCCCAGCCGAGCGCGATGTAGATGTCGCCTTTTGCGGGTGACCGTTTGCGCGGCCCTGACGTGGCAAGCCGGGATGCTGCTGCTGCTGTTGCATCCGCTGCTGCTGCATCCGCTGCTGCTGCGGCTGACGCTGCGGCTGACGCTGCGGCTGCGGTTGCTGCTGCATCCGCTGCAACACCCGCTGCTGCTGCTGAAGAGCCAGCTGCTGCGGGGTTGACTGGTGCTGGCGATGCTGGGGATGCGGTTGCACATGCGACGGGTGGCGAGGCTGCTGCTGCTGCTGCTGCTGCTGCTGCTGCTGCTGCTGATGCTGCTGCATGGGCTGCCGATGATGCTGCTGCTGCACGGGCTGCTGCTGCGGGACATGGGGCGCCGGATGCGCCATGTGAGGCCCGCCGGGAGCCTGCGGCTGCTGCGGCTGAAACATGTGCGGCTGTGGCTGCTGCTGTTGCTGAGCATACATCACCGGGTGCTGCATGTGCGGTGGCGGATGCATGTGCGGCGGCGCGTATGGCATGCCCACTCCCATGAATGAAGCCGGCCCGCCCACGGCCATGTAAGGAGCCGGCCCGCCCGCGGCCATGTACGGAGCCGGCCCGCCCGCCGCCGGGAACGGAGCAGGCATGATGCTACCCGCCATCGGAGCCGATGCCGACGTCTTGGCTCGCTTGCTCGCCTGCGTCTCCTCCCACTCTTCCTCGGTGTACACTGTACGTCGCCCGAACGTGAGTTGGTTCGCTACCCTCGCCCACCGCTTCCCCTCCCTCTCTCGCATCACCTCAACCTACGCTCGGGATGGTAGCCATCATACGCCAGCGGAATGCCTGACATGCCGTAGACCTGTGACGAGACGTCGTCGCGTGAGGCCTTGGCGCCCGGCACATGCTCGAGCGGCTTGGAGTGGATCTCCGCCATGTGGATCGAGAGCGGCTTGATGGCGGCAAACGACTTGGATCGGCACACAAGGCACTTGAAGTGCTTCCTCTTCTGATGATCCACCAGCACCCTCTCATCGATGAACACCCGGTCACAGAACCTGATCCCGTCCAGCGCCCGTCCCGCCCCAGCGCCCCGCCCCCCGCCCCCCCCCCGTCCGCATATCGCCGCCGTCACCATGCTGTGAGTCCCCCCTCCCCTCCCCCCCCCTCCCCCCATCCGACCACCTCTCCTGAAGCCTGTCCCCGCTCAGCTTACCCCCGTCCCCTTCTCCGCCCACCTCCCCGCCCACGTCGCTGCCCAGCTCATTGCCCCCATCCCCTCCCCTCCCTCCCTCCCACCCCACCCCACCCTATTCCTTACCAGCAGTACGGG